ACTTTGTTCTAGGAGACATTTGCATATAAACAAGCTACAAGTGGTCTCTGATTTGTGTTTGATTTTCCTGCCAATTAATGAATATGATAGGAGTAATTTTCTTTTCCTTCCTTTTGGAAGTTTTTGCATGGTTTAGTTGAGTTGTTTGTGTGAGAGTAATTGATTCAGCTTCCTTTTTTTTGCATTATTGTTTGCTGACTTATTGGCCAAGAGGGCTCTCAATTAGTTTTAGGACCAAGAATTCCTTCTATAGTTTTCTAGTGCTAGTATTAGCTTCAAGTTAGCTTCTTAATGTCTCCTGCAGTCGACTGATTTTTGTTATTATTTGCAGCAATTGAACCTGTTGACAGAGGCTTCGGATTCGGATTTGGGTCTAGGATATTACAATCTACCAATCAAGCTACCATTTTCGCTTGTGGTACCCTTATACTCTCTATCTCCTCTTTGCTTCTTTTTTTCTGTTATTTATAGCCAATCCAATTCACTATAAATTTATACTTTCTAAATCATCCTAAAAATTGAAATGTTGCTATACAGCTACTAAATGCACTATGTATATAATGCATATGTAGGTGCACAGTGGTTAATGTGATTTAATAGCTAAGACTAATTACTATGATTTTTTTTGTACTTTTTTGTGTTCTTGCTCCAGTTCATGACAATCTCAAATATGGCTGTGTTCCATTTTGTTTACTTTTCATTGTTGTTGTTTGGGAAGATTAAATTAACTGCCGTGTCTTCATTATGTTACTTGCTGCCCTTTTATGGACAACAAGTGATTTTCCAGCATAAGCCTATTTTCAACTATATATACTTGTCTAAATTGTGTTATGTTTGTAAATGAGACGCTCTTGTAATTTTCCAGCATATATGAGACCTTAAATTGTGACTAAGGCATATTTATTATAGATACAGTGGCTGTTGCGATTCAAAAATAGCATAAGTTATTGAACCTTAATCCTTGGTCTGTGACAATATTAACATGTAATTTGCCAAAGAATTTAGTAAATGCTTGTTACTTTTGTTTTTTTATTTAGGAAATTTGAAGGCTGTTATACGTCTTTGATATTAAGAGTTTTCTTTGTCTGTGACAATACCTGGTTTTTACTCTCTATAATTGGTTCCTATGTGCATATTAAGAGCTATCTTTGCTTTTATTTTGTCTCTTATTCTGCTCTTTATGTAGTCACTATTTGGATGAGAGTTTAAATAAATGAGACTTTATTTTTTGTGAATCCTCATTTGATTTTCCTTGTCTCAAGTTTGTTTTGTCATCTACTAATAATTGTATTTTTCTATTGCAGATATATTGCACATTTTAGAGTTTTGGAAGATGAGTAGCCGAGGCTACTTATTAGCTCAAAAACTGGTTATAGTGCTATCTTATGCTTAGGAAATGTTTCGTATAACACAAAAATGTTTTGGGACTTGGATTCGTTTTGTACTGCTCCCTTGCCTTATATGATACAACTCATTCTAATACTACTTGTCAAACTCTTTATAATGTGATGTTGCACATGATTATGATATTGGAAGGATTATTATAATATTTTGGCATTTTCTATTGTAATGGGTGAATGTGTTTGTTATTCATTAAGCATTGTTGGTGGCTCCCATTTTTTTATATTACTCTAGCAAGAAATACATCAAACTACACAGTGACAAGATATTGTAACTGAATCACATTTCTCCAATGACAAGTGCCTATTGTCAGTAAATCAAATGTCTTTATTGACAACAATTGTTGTAATTGAATTAAATTCTATATTGACAACAATATGTTGTCACTGTTGAAAGGTGTTTAGTGACAACAAAATTGCTAGTAATTGGACCATATACTGATGACCATTGTTGAGTTTTAGTGACGATATTGTTTCATGCATCATTGATAAGAAGTCATGTTGTCACTAAACTTAAAGCATTTATTGATGAGAAAAGTTGTCACAAAAGCTCTTTATTCACTGACGACTTTTAAGTCATCAGTGTATACTTTTACCGACGGGCATTCAGTGACGACCCTGTGACGACCGAAAAGTTGTCAGTAAAATCCATTAGTGATGACTTTTTACTTTTTTGTGACAAGAATAGATTGTCACTAAAGGTCAAATTTCTTGTAGTACAGTGACCTTTTTGTGCAATTTCTGTTCAATTTCCAGCTCTGCTCCGATTTTTCCTCAACTTCAACCGAACTTTTCTTGATTATATAAGCTGATTTAACTCTTGACCAAAACATAAAACTTGTAGCTCTTTGAGTTAGATTTCCAATGCATCAAGAATCACGTCATTTGGATTTGTGTAGGCTGAGAAATGACTAAAATACTCTTGACTGCTCAATGCTCTGTTTCAGCTTTGACCCATAGAAATTGGCTACTGTAATTCGACTTTTTGACCTGGAAAACCTTTAAACTAGATTTTGATGTCTTCACCAAAGTTGTAGGTCTATCTCTTATATTCAAATTGGTTCAAGAATCATCTCAATCCGATCACTGTACCTCAAGTTATAGCCGAAATACGAAAATGTGTCAAAACTGTCAAAAATGCACAAAATACAAGCAAAAAGTGATAAAAACCTCATTTACTCACTTAAGAACATTTTTCACCAATTATAACCAAAATGATTCATTTTCTTCCAATAATATAACCAAAGTGACTAAAAATATCATAAAATGTCATTCAATTATTACGTAAATTAGTCACTTATCAGATATAATAAATAAAGTATAAATGAAAGCAAGTAAACACATAGAACACAAAACACATAAGCATAATATCTAAGTATAAAAATCCTAAAAAAAAATGATTAAAATACATAAGTAAATAAGTCACACAAAATACAAAACCTATTTATTACATCTGGGGTTGCAATTACAATCCCAAATTAAGGAGCAAAAAAAGATAAGAAAATATATTTATCTATCCTATTTATTATATTTGAGGAGAAAAATGATATTAGTTACAACTTTTTAAATAAGAGAAAATATGATATAGTCTATCTATTACATTTTAAGTATTCAAGTACCCTCTAAATAAGAAAGTTTAAATTAAGTAAATGACATGCAAATGAATAATTATATGATAAATGCAATTAAAAGAAATAGCAAAAATGCATAAAGGGCATAAAAACACATAAAAGTACATAAGAACATGTATCTTGAGAATCTAAGGGGTTATAAGAGTACCTTTCCTTTGAAATGGCAGGCTAAAAAACTACAATATCTCCTGTCTAACACTCAAAGCACGAACAAACATGCAAAGCACAACTATCTTGGAAATACTTTTAAAAGGAATGCAATAAATGCATTAAATCCATATTAACATGTTAAACATGCAAAGGAATTTAAAGGAATTCAAAATGACAAGTTAAATGAGTTTAAGGCATAATTAGCAATTAAAGAAAGGAAACAATTATAATTGAGGGATCAAGAAGCTACCAGGGACTCAATTACAAAACTTAGAAAGTTTATGGGTTTCAAAAGATAAGGGCCAAAAAATAATTAAAATGAAAGTTTAGGAATCAAATAACAATGAAAATAAAGATCTAAATGAAAGAAATCTAAAGTTTCTAGGTCATAGTAAAATTATTTAGAAACTTAGGGGTTCAAATGTAAATTTATTTTCTGATTTAAAAAGCCTGTTTAATAAACTTAAGTGGAACGTTGTAGTTTTGGCATTAAACCAACAGAAATAACGTAGTTTCATTTGAAATTTATTTTGATACTTTTCTTTTCTTTTTCTTTTTCCCCCTTTTCCCCTAGGGCTCGATCTCTCTTTTCTTGATTTTTCTTCCTTTCTCTATTTTTCATCTTTCTTGATTTCTCCCTTCTTTTCTTTTCAGAAAACCTACAAAATGAGAAAATTCTACATTAGAATGCATGAAAATAAATGATCAATAAATATAAAAAAATATGAAAAATACATTGAGTTCCGAAGGTCTTCCTTTGCCTTATACAATAGCAAGCAAGAAACTTGGTTGGGAATCGGAGAAAGATGAGGATGATTGGAAGACATTCAAGTTAAATGATAAGGAAGAACTTGCTGACATCAAAAGGCATTCTTTGTACTTGTATCCATCCACCAATTACGGAAAAGATGTTTTTGTTTAGTCATTCAAATAAAATTGCTATATCAAGAAGACACGCAAAAAACTATATGTTTTTAAATTTCTTTTTAACACGTGAATTGTAAATATGTTTCTACCTTTGTATTATTTTTTTTTTAAAAAAGGTAGTAGTGCAATTTGGCAAATGCAAAAATAATATGTCCATCCAAACAGTTTAAAAAGTTAGTGTATATGTTTGTATGTGCGAAAGTATGTTAGTGTGTGTTTTAGTGTGTATATGTGTGTGAAAAGGAAGTGTTTCCATCCAAGGAGCTCAAAAAATTAAGTGTGTGTTTGTATAAGTGAAAATGTTTTAGTGTGTAAAAATATGTTTATGTGTGTAAAAATAACATTTTGTGTGTGTAAATATATGTAAGATATAGTTATGTATTAAAATATATAAAAAATATTGGGTTATATTTGGATCATAGGTTTTAGTTGATCCAATATGACCCAATCCAAAATCAATTAAAGCTATAGTTGGGCGGATTGGATATAATACATCTAACTGAAAACTCAAATCAACCCATTCAATTGCCAGGTTTATTTATTGAGTAACTTGTCGATATTGACTATTGCCAAAGGTTTTTTTTTGTGGGGGGGAGGGGGGGGTATGCAAAGAATGATTTGACGAAAACTCAATAAAAAGTGCCAGCATGATGTCATGCACACAATCAAAATTCATGGTTACACTAAAGATTTTATAACAAAGTCTGTAAGAATTACACCAACAAAATAGAATAGGACAAAACTGATCAACCAAATTTGCCCTATGTTCCAAGCTAACAGCAATGCTTTTGCTGGTTTAGGGCAGATATGATTGAGATTTGGGTTTGGGGCAGGTATAATTGAAAATTTGGTTCCATATATCGTTGTACTTTCTACCTAATTCGATGTATAATGATGTTGTCTCGTTGGACACATAAATTTTACTAATGCACACCAACTCGTTGTATAAATACAACTATTCTAAGCGTACACCAACATTTGAAAAAAATAAAAATAAAAATACAACAACTGCCCTAATTGTACCAGCAGTCAGCCGTATCTGCTCCAAACCCGTTTTAACTCATGACAAGTGAAACAATTGAGAATTTGTCTTAAAAAAATTTCAAATGCAGTTGCTTTTGGTAACCAACAATACTTCATCATATATCCTTTCTACCACAATAGGCTTTCACTCTTTCACTAGAAGATAAAGCCGGATTTTTCGAACGGAATTTTAATAAGCCCCAATGATCAAAAGAAGTAAATTGTGATGGGTAGTTGTCATCAACAAGCTCTTTTGGTACTTGAACAATTCCAGTGTGGAAGGAGAACAACCCAATAGAGGTTCTTGCTTTCTCTGTCACCATAACTCTGTGGAAACAAGGTCGTACTCTGCCATTGCTCCATGCCTTCAGCAAGTAACAGAATGACTTAATTATAAATGAGGACCCACTATTCTTTCTGCTAAGAAAATTAATGAGAACTTAAATTTCTTTTTTTTTTTTGTGGTTGTTTTTGATAAAAAAAAAAAACTACTTTGAGATCGAAGAATTTAGGTTGTTTTGTAACAGGTTTCGCGAACAGTTTTTCGTTTCAATATAAATTATAAGCTTCTAATGGTATTTTTTGAAACAATAATGCATTTAAAACTACTAGCCAATAATAGCTGTAATCGATTGCAATAATTTCATAAATCCCCTGAGATTTACCATAATTACATCTAGCTCCCTCTATGTTTCAAAATTACACATACTTTCCTTAAATAGTAGCTTTGGCCTTCATTTGGCTGACTTTTGTATCATACTAATGTCCCAAATTGCCTTGAAAGCCTCATTCATTTTTTCATATTCCTTTAGCCCAATTTACTACTGTGTATTTTTGTTTTAATTATTTAATGAATTTTCGGTGGGAGATACAAAATTGAGAATTAATGAGAAAGATGAAAGATGGATGGAAGAGGCATGATCAAACTGAAATTTGTGATATATGGAAATTGGGATTTTGGGGAAGGATGACAAACTTGGATAGACAAACAAGATGATCAAAATTGGTGAAAAATATATATTAATGGTGATGATAGGACAATTTTGCTACAAGATGATCAAGTTTGGATAACCATTTGACAATTTTACTTTTTTTTTTTGAATTTTTTCCTCTCTAAAAAAATATATATTTATAGTTATACCGAATCTTAAGTTGTTTTCCAACCTCAAATGCAACAGCAAACCACAAATATTGACTTTCATAACTTGCCGCTACATCTTAGCTAGCTTATACATTATTCAATACTATCACCTAGAAACAGCACAATTATCTTCTTAGTCAACTAAATATTATATTATCTTCTTAGTCAACTAAATATTATATTATCTTCTTAGTCAACTAAAAATTGTTGGCAAGATAACAAACAGAAAAATACTGTCAAAAGATTTCACATTTCAGCCAGACGTAATGAAATATATAGTTTAGCAAATGTATATTTTTACTTCGGGTACAAAATTTTTTTTTTTTTTTTGCACTAACATAGTTTTCAAAATGAAATGAATTGCATGTTATTGATAGTTAATGCACACAACGTACCTTAAACATTTTTTTTTCAAGTTAATTACACTTTACCCCTTGAACCGATACCTCAATTGCACTTTCACCTCATGCGCCAAAAAGAATAGGCAATTTACCCCTTTTAGAAGATTTCACCATATAAATAAATATAAAAATATGATGCAAAAAATTTCTTTGGCAAAAATACCCTCCTTTAGAGTTTTTGGATGAAGTTACTATTAATAGCTTTTGTATTTCATTGTAGCTTTTATTTGACAACAATATTTAGAGTTTTTGGATGCAAAAAAATTTTCTTTGACAAAAATACCCTCCATATATTTGGTTATTGGAAAATCACAACAAAACGAATTGGATGAATCCATTCTTGCTTTTATTTTTTTCTGTTCTTGTGTTTATATGTTCAAATAAAACGAAATAATGAATGCGTGCATTGGATAAGGAAAATGGATGATTTCTAAAATATACTTGTTTGTTGGGAATTAGAATAAATAAGAATATTATGCAAACTCATTATAAATACAAATAAGACAGTAAAAATTTTGTCAAGAACTCTTCTAAAGGGAATGGTTGTCTAAAACAAATTAACATCACAAATTTATACATAATTCTAGCTAGGAAATCTTCGGAAGGGTAAATTGCATTTTTTTTTTTCGTTCACAAGGCAAAGTGCAACTGGGATATAGGTCCAGGAGGTCAAGTACAATTAACAAAATATAATTTACAGAATATGATAGCGTATATTGTTGGTAATAGTTTGTAATGAGTATGTTGAAATCCATTGTCCCACATTGAAAGAGGATAAAGTGCATGTTGCCTATATATGAGTCATTGTCCTATTCCTTTACAAACTTGTTCCAAGATAATAGTTTGGAGGGAAAGTTTGGTGGGAAACTTATTTCAAGATATATAAAATCTTGACAAGGGCACTTGGGCACTTGGGGCACCTAATATCTGTTAATTGGCTAACTACCCAAACGCCTATTCAATAAAGATTGCATCCTCTGATAGTGCCTTGAATAGGTGCTTCAATCCTTTTAAATAGTAGGATTTCGACAGAATTAAATCACTTTTACTTTTCATTTGATAGTTCTTAGACTTTGTTGTATCCTAGAGGTAATTTGTCTAATAGAGGCAAATAACACCTTAAGGAAAGTGCTTTCACGCCTCAAAGTCTCTGTATTTGTCTAGTATAGTTTTGTTCTTTACTACAGTTTTCTAACATATATATCATCAATGTATCAAAAAAAACGAATAAGTGAAGGACAATGGCAATACCAGCATGGCATCACCTGCCATGATTGCAAAGGAAGATGGTGGGAAATCAACAGGAATCCATGTACCATCTTTTGATTGAACCTGCAACCCTTGTACGCTATCTTGCTTAAGAACGCTCACAAAACTTGTGTCAGTATGAGGAGAGATTCCAAGATTTGGCTCCTTCTCTTGGGGAACTCTATAAGCATTGGCTCTGAAGAGATAAGATGTTGATTCTATGTGAGAATCAATGTACCTACCAACACCATAGCTTTCAAAGATCATTTTGCTCACCATCCTGTTCACCTCTGATAGTTGCCTTGTGCAGGCGCATATTGTTTCACTGAGAATAAAAAACCAAACTAATCATAGTACAAATAAATTATAATGAGGTAAAAAAAACATGAATACGGAATGTCATTTGTGTGGTGTATATTTATCTAGAGTATTATAAATCGAAAATTTGGAATAAAAATGTTGTCTATTGTAGTAATTACGGTAAAAAGAAAATAACCACAAAGTTTTTAACTTTGTGCTTCTAAATTATTATTTGTGTCATTTTTTATCTCAAATGAAACTGCAGTATCCCATTGATTTATCCCTTTTAATTTATTTTTTAAGTTAATTTATTTAAGACATCCGAGACAATACTAACCAGGTATGAATTTAGACAAAAACAGAAAGTAAATTGGCTTAAATAAAACTTTTGAATTGTTTGGTAACTATAAGTGCATTATACCCTACTAATTCTAAGGAACTAAGCCAATTTAGCTCCTAAAGTCTACCTCATTGTCACCTTAATTCTTTATAGCTATAAAGTTATGCAATAATCCTAGACTTTCTTTTGGTGACAAATCCAGTCCTAAAACTAATTGAGCCGGTAAATTGGATCAAATTTGCCATGTTGGGAAAAAGGTACCTAAGAGATTTTCAAAGTCCACCACTTATATAGCCAGTTATACAAGTATTTGTATATGGAAGAATGATATATTTCAATTTTGCCAAGTAGACTTTCTATTTCTCCAGGTGCACTAATCACTTGTAAGAATATAGCCTTTTATTCCACCAATTTCAACATATAGGTCAAAATTTGGAATCAAATATCAGAAACATGAAAATTTCATCAATCTTGGTGCTAGTAGTACCATCTCTAGGCACCAGTATGCAGATTTTCTATAAGCTCATCTTACCAAAAATGATCATTTCCAGATGGCCAGGCGAGATTGGCAAAGCTTTGAACCGCTTCAATAGTTGTTGAATCTTCAATAGAGATGGCTTCAAGAAGAGGGAAATTAGGTTTTGGTCCAAAATAACCAAATGCACTCTTATCAGGGTGAACGTTAAGCAATTTTGTCTCCATGGGAAGATTAAAGAACTCCTTCAGCGATGCAAAAACATCAATTTTGCACTCAGATTCAGCCTTGTCATAAACTGCAATGAAACAGCTAAACTCCTCCAACGCTTCCCTCACAGCTTGCAAGTAGAGAGCCAAGAACTTGTGCCAAGATTTAGGTTTTCTGTGGTGAAATATATGACTGGAATTGTTTTGCTTTTCTGCGTTTTGGAGTTGCAGACTTGAGGTTGTTGGTCTCCATTATCGAACTTGTGGATGATGTTCTTGGCTTCAGATGTAGCTGTTCTAGATTTGGTCAAGGGACAAAGGATTCCTGATGAATCCAAATCAATAAAAAAACATAAATCTACAGAAATAATCACAAAAAATCGACATACGGCCAAAGGAATTTATTCTTGTATTGACAAAGGGCTCCGGGGGGATGCACCTGTTCACAAAAATTAAATACGACCGACAAACAGACTCTGACTATTCTGACGAAAACCCCGAAGCTGCTGACTTATTAAGCCTTGTATGACAATAAGCCTCCTATGTAGAACAAATACTAGACATATCTAGTAGTTATTCCGTACTAATAAAAAGTTTCATGCGGAATTTACTTAACATATTAAATAAAATCAAATGGAACTTTTATCAGGGGATAATTTCAGAAACCTCCCTTGAGGTTTCTTACAATTTCATTGACCTCCCTGAGGTTTCTACAATACACTAACCTCCCCTGGCAGAACTTGGGACCCAATTGCTTACATCACATAATGCGAAATTACTATTATACCCAAGATATTGTTGTTATTATGAGACTAAATCTGATAAATAAGTCATTAGGGTACAAATTAAATCTTTCAATTTCATTAACCGACTTACCAGTTGGAATCTTACCAGTTAGTGTTCATCCTTTCCATGTTCTACGTATTAACAACATGTTTCATTTGCTGGGTACTAAACTGGGTACTTTTACTGGGAAAAATTGAAACAATGATAAGCTGAATTTTGCATGAAGTTAACCAGTTATTCAACCCTTATTTGTCACTTGTATAACGGAGTCTGAGCTCTATACGCAATAACTGCCAATCAAAAAACAGAGAACTTTGACTTAGGCAGTATAACTTCGTTTCTGGTTATCAAGCATTAGGAAGAAGGGGTCGTTTTCTCAAAACTCATTCTTCCATTTTCTCTTTCATGCATAGATGCTTTGCGTTTCAACTTCCCAAGAAAAGGGTAAACATAAATTAAGCATAGCTCCATCAATCAAACATTTGCAATGAATATTTTCTAAGAAAAATCTCCTACCAAAGTTCGAGTCCACTGTTTATGATGTTCTAAATTGATGCTAAACAATTTTTGCAGCCGCTTTTGGTAGTTTTCTCTCCTGCATTTTCTGTAGTTTTCAGATCAAATCAGTTGACATTTGGCCTCTAGTTATGTGATACCCTGAACTAAATGAACTCTGGTATAGCATTCATGTCCTATGACACTCAGTCACTGATGTGTAAATGAGCAATTTTCACAACTTGCAGCCACTAGAAGCGACATAGCATTGCCCTAAAAACAATGCTGTCATGCCTTAAAGATCTTTCACTTCTTATGTCGTACACAAAGAGCTTTCAAGAGAATTGCTTTAAATTATCTCTTGCCAGAGAATCGTTCCAGATGGTGTTAATGCCAAGCTTCTTCTGATTTATTTATGGTTTTTATTTCTGGTGTTAATGCCACTCTTTTTCCTTATTCCACTAATATCCCCTCACTTTTTCTAATTTATTTCTGGTTTTTATTAGTTTTCATTAATTCACTAATATAACTTGTACACCTACCTCAAGGGCATTTATGGAACAAACTTTCCTCTCTTTCCTGAAAATACTTTTTTATGTTCACTTTTGACATCATGGGCTGATTTTGTAACAAAATCTTAAACCTCAAGGGAGGTTAGTGTAATTATGGAAACCTCAGGGGAGTTCAATGAAATTGTCAGAAATCTCAGGGGAGGTTTCTGAAATTATCCCTTCCATTTAATATGTAAATTAGTAAGTGGAATCCTTATATATCCACATCAATTTTTTCTATTAGTTTTGGATCAGTTATTAGGCATTGCCTAATAATTGTTTCGAACTGACATAAAACTTGTTCGGCACTTGTACAAACTGACTAGTACTAGTACTAACAAAGGATTTATCCCAGGATGAGGGGCAGGAGCGGTCATCAGATGAATCGCTCCTGAGCTGTTCACGGCTAAGATTTGGCTCAAAAAAATTGTACGGTTCAGATCACTTTTTGTACCTCGTTTTTAACAACGTGTGTGGGATCCACAAAAATTTGTTCTAAAATTACATGTTGTGCAAACAAAGTTACGCCGTGTGCAAACAAAGTTACGCGATGTGCAAAATGCACAAAACCACTAGGAACGGTTGCAGTGCAACCGTTCCTGCCCGTGGTCCTTTATCCCATGCCACTCCAATGCAAACTAACCAATTAACTAATGACATATGCCCACAACTTAATATATTAAATCCTACTAGCTTGGTTTAATTTTTCTACAAATTTGATAACAGATAAGTAATGAATTGTTTCTAGTTGCAAGAAACAAATTAGTGTAAGCATTCTGTTGCAAATATTTCAACTGTGGTTCGATAAAATATATGTTGTCTGCGCTACTATACCTAAAAATATATATTGTCTGCGCTACTGCCAACTAATCCAACTATACTATACCTTAAAGTAAGTGTTTCTTCCAAGATGGGGCTATAGGCGGCTTTGACACCTCTAGATGGGGCGGCTGCTAGCAAGCTGTTATATTTGTCCTTCAGTTTTTGTTTTTAGATCTAGATTTGTCCTTTATGGATATGGAGTTGTTTGGGAAAAAAAAATCTATGTTTTTTTATAACAGGTTTCCTAATCACTCTTTTTATCTTTACAATAACTTTTTTATTTCACATAAGTCACATTGTATAGAAAACATTACGTTGCTACCATAAATAATTCTTTTTTTTTTTTGAAAAATACAATTCAAAAGGATACATTTTTGTGTGATTTTTCTTGCTAATATGAAAACGAAGTTTAAACTTCATAAGTTGGAATTTTGGACGTGCATGACAAAAAAATTTGAAGCATATATCATAGAACATCCTTAATACCACAATAGGTTTTGACTCTTTCCTCAGAAGATAGAGTTGGATTTTTCAAACGGAAACTCAATAAGCCCAAAAGATTTGAACTATTCCAGTGTGGAAGGAGAACAGCGCATTATAGAATCTCGCGGTCTTTGTCATCATAACTCTGCGAGAAAAAGTATAAAATTTTTGTCCTATTGGCACTATCATTGACTAAAATTGTAGAAATTAAGTTGCAAATTTGGGGACCAATTAGAAAATTTTCTCTAACCTCATCCTACCAGAATTGATCATTTCCTGATGGCCACATGAGGTTTGTAAAGCTTTGAACTGCTTCAACGCATAATTATTGAATCTTCAATGTATACCAATGGTTTCATGAAGAGTAGTGTCACATCTTAGTCTTGATTGGTGTTAAGCAATTTTGTCTCCATGGGGAGGTTGAGCAACTTCTTTAGTGATCCAAAAACTTCACTAATAAACTCAGATTCAACTCTGTCATAAACTGCAATAAAACAGCTAAACTCCTCCAATGCTTCCCTCACAGATTTGCCAGTAGATAACCAAGATCTTGAGCGCAGATTTTGGGTTTTTTTTTTTTGGGTTTTGGTGAAATATATGACAGAAGGGATTTCACTGTTTTGTTGTATTTGAGGAATCTAGACTGAAGTATTGGTCTCCATTATCAAACTTGTGGATGATTTTCTTGGTTTCAGCTGTAGTTGTTCTAGGTCTAGTTATAAGAAGTGAACTATTCCTGGTTACAAGGAACAAGATAAGGTGGATGTTTTATTGGAAAGGTTCTCATGTGCAGATTCATCTCACCATATACATAAGGTTTGGCCGACAAGTGCCTCCACTATGCATAAGGGCTTCGAATATTAGTCTTTTGATAAGAGTGTTGTTAATTCAAAAAAGTGTCCAAATCTATAGATACAATAAATATAAACATCTACATCATATGATGAGTATATTAATTAAAGAGTGCTAATGGACAACTTTTAATAAATTATTAAATAATATCATGATTAAGACCTTATAGGCATCCCAATATTTAAGCATTTACTAACCAACTCCTCCTTCAAGTCAAAGTTGAAAGTCATATACACATGTAAGTTTTCAATCCCCAATCCTAACAAATAATATTCAATGAAAGATTCAAGAAAGATTGAACTTAAATCTCATAAGCAAAAGCATTAGTATTATCTTAACCACAATACAAATCACCAAACCACTCCATGAAATGAATTATTCCCAGCTAAAAGAAACAACTAAGGGTAAATATTTCTCCTGCAAAGATTCCAAAGTGGTTCCATAAATTATATCTTGGTTGCTAACTGCTTACTTGATTGGGGTGTTTTATTGCAAAGATTCCTGCAATTAAGCAGGATTCATCACCCCATATACATACACAGCATGGAGAATACATATGGTTCTGTGTATTCTACAGAAGAAATGCTGCTATCTGGCTGCAAACGAAAAAATTTGTCAGCTTATTGTCTTAGAGAATAGCATGTGTTTTCCAAGTCCCAACAAATCTGTCTTTTCTATTTTTTCTTTTCTGGGCAGGACAGGTAATCTATCCATACTACAACAAGTCTATCTTTCTTGTCTCAATCTGAGTTGTTCACTCAGATATTGATTCATCAATCTCATGAGCAAAAATTAGCATCAATTCTCTAATTCGACACTAACACCGATTGATAAACCACATCATGCAAGCAATTACAATTTACCTGTTCACAAATACTCGATATTTTGCTTCTTTTTTCCTTTGTAGTACAAAAACGAAGAACAAACTTCAATCCAAGTTAGAACTTTAGAAATATGGCAATGATACAAACCCTAATAGTTGATAGTTCATTTGAAACAAAAGCCTAAATTAATTTGGTTGAGTCTGGGAGCCAACACAGGAATTAATACTTTCCCATGCATCCTTTATACCGCAATAGGCTTTGACTCTTTCCTGAGAAGATAGAGCTGGATTCTTCAAACGGAAATTTAATAAACCAAAATGATCAAAAGATTTAAATCGTAGTGGGTAGTCATCATCAGCAAGCTCTTTTGGTACTTGAACAACTCCTTTGTGGAAGGAGAACAGTGCAATAGAAAATCTTGCTTTTTCTTTCATTATAACTCTGTGAAAACAAGGTTGTACCCTGCCATTGCTCCATGCCTTCAACAAAGAACACAGCAACTTAGTCATCAATGACATTCACAATTCTTTCTGCAAAGAAAAATGTAATTGTTTTTCTTTCTTTCTTTCTTTTTGATAAAATTACTGAGAGATTGAAGAATTTAGGGTGTTTGTCATCAGGTCCTGGAAACTTTTTTTTTTTCTGGATAAACTGTGTGCTCCTAAATTTAGTATGTAGCAATACCAGTTTGTTTTATTTCATCCATTTAATACTGCTAGAGTAACAAATTATCTACACCAATAATATAGGAAAGATTAACCTATAACAATATTGAGTGAAAACACGAATTGATTTATGGTTTTCTATGGTGCCAGAAACCGGACTAAAATATGCCTATTATCAATCTTCCTCTAGCTGAAAATATTGTATGAATGAACTGTGTAAACATAAGTTATTAGAGCAAGGGGTTAATTTCAATTTGGCCTTTCAGAGAAGATCAAAGTATCAATTCAGACCCTAAAAATGATTAGGTCCCAATTAACCTGTCCAAAGGGGATATTTTGTACCGAGTAGGCCCTTCCATCATTTCAAATCTGGTCAATAACGTTTTATTAAACTTTAGTGATAAAGTAAAGTCTCATCTCTTTGTTAGAGACTTAAAAGCAAATCATTTATCACCTAAATGAGTTAAAAAGGATAAGATATTGCTCTTCTAAATCTATTTTCAATCTTTCAAATCTGATTAGAAGAGCACTATTCTATCATTTTTAGCTAATTTAGACAGAAGACTAATTGCTGCAAAGTCTCTAAAAATCAATATGCCACTAAGGTTTGGTTAGACGTTATTGACCAAACATGAATTAACAGAAGGGCCATGTTGAAACAAAAATTCCAGTTTAAAGTTCTCAATTGGAACTAGATCACTTTTAGAGGTTGAATCGACTCTTTAACCTATTTTGGAAGACTAAATTGAAATTTACCCTTGCTCAAGTGATTATATGTATGCATAAGTAATTTTCCAACCTCAAATTGCTAGCATTACATGTAGGTTTATACCACATGCAGGTTTAGTGTGCAATTAAGCTTGCAGGGTTAGTCAATTTTTCTAACCTGCATGCTCGGATGCAGGACACACAACTTGCATTCAAATTTGAATTTCTATTCTTATATTATATATATATATATATATATATATATAAATTTGAATTTTTTATACATTAACAGTGTATACACTAGCGGGTCTAGATGCATGCCACATAAACAAAATTTGATGTTGAAGTTCAAATTCAGATGATGTGGCATTCATCCAACCCCATCAGTATAGGAAAGATTAATCCATATGTTTGTGTATAATATATATATAATGCATCTAAATTTATTAGTGTAAAAATTTTTACTTTGGCAGTGTGGGAAACATGGCAATGTCTTAACATACATCATTCAATTGCATTAGTTTGAATTTAGAGGTGGCAATTTGTCCCAAGTCCCAATGGGTTACCCATGCCCATGGGGACTTTGGGCGGGATGGGTATTGGATTTTGATATTGGGTTTAAAATGGGACAAATCCCAATTGTACCCATTAATTGATGGGAATACTTGGGAAATACTTGGGTACCCATTGGGTTCAAATAACAAGGGCTCTGTTTGGTTTAGCTATTTTTGGGGGGTATTTTTGAAATATTTTATTATAGCAGTGTATATGAAAAATTTTTACTATAAAATTTTTTTGAAATATTTGATATACTAATATGGATGGGATGTTTTTTGAGTTATTGTATATTACTGTAACATTGTATTTGAAAAACTTATTTTTTGAAAAAATAGCCAATCCAAACGGAGTCTTAGATTAAAAAATTATCTTTAACAATTTTTATAGTAATACTAGAGAATATAATCTAGTAATTTTCCTAGTCATTATCCACAAGAATTTTCAACATTTCAGTCAATTTAGACCTGTCATCTTTGGACAATGATGAGGATAAATATTCAACACCTTAAGTACCTTGACCATCTTGATATATGTTGGAATATGACTGTATATCTATTTTTTCCTTTATTTGTTAATTCAATTTTTTATGGGAATCCTGAGTATAAAGCACTTGCATGTTTATTTAATAAAACTAAAAAAAAATTAATAAATCAAAAATATTAAAATTATATAAAAAATAAAAATGAATTAAAGGAAAAAAATATGTAGAAAATAGATTTGGGTATTGAGCGGGATCAATCTAAACCCATCCCAAAGTGATCCCGCCCAAGTTAGTCCCAAAACACATGTGGGTAAGGTTGGGCCCAAACCCATATGACTCGGTTCCATCACAAACCCAAGCAAATCCCGCCCATCCCGCCCATTTTGCCACCTCTAGTTTGAATCAACACAGTTATCATTTTGGTCAACTAAATATCCTACTGAGACCGTAGACAAGACAACAAACAAAAATGCTATTAAAATATTTCACATGTCAGCATTTTTCATGAAATATCTTTTGAGATAAAATAGTTTTTGGAATATAAAATAAAATATTACATTTTATTGATAGTTGATACGGTAACTTACACATCATCCCCTTGTAATTTTACCCATTATCACATAACTCCTTAATGTTTTAAAATATCCACTTCACTCTCCTATAGTTTGATGTAAAGTGGAAACTTAATGGAAAATGGTATCCATAATGTCGTTAGTTGAAATACTAGTATTACTTTTACTTAATATTATATCAATCAGCAGTGTAACCATAGGAGGTTAAAGTGGATACTCATGCAAAAAATTGGAGGTGGATATTATGATTTCATCACATGCAATTTTGGAACGTGTCTGGTTCAATTGGCGTAACAAATGATGCATTCCATCCATATGCCACTTTAGATAAAATAGGGGTTAATATGGCTACTTTAAAACCTTCGGGAATAATGTGAGACCTAAAATAATGTGTGAACAAAAGTGCTTTCGAGACTAAAGTTTTCAAATGGTATTGGAAGCAAACAGATAGGGTAAGAAAATTACTCACCAGCATGGCATCACCTGCTATGACAGCAAAGGAAGATTGTGGCAAATGAACAGGAATCCATGTACCGTCCTTTAATTGAACCTGTAACCCTTGAACACTATCTTGCTTAACAACACTCACAAAACTTGTGTCAGTATGAGGAATAATTCCAAGATTTGGCTCCTTCTCATGGGGAACTCTATAAGCATTGGCTCTGAGGAGATAAGATGTTGATTCCATGTGACAGTCGCTGTACTTACCAACACCGTAGCTTTCAAATATCATTCTGCACACCAACCTGTTCACCTCTGATACTTGTTTTGTGTAGGAGTGTGTTGTTTCACTAAGATTTAACACAAGAAAAGGGGAGAATTATAGTTGACATATATGAAAATGAGGTAAGGTAAAAAAGAAATAGAAAAAGATATGTGCATAAAAATATACATGAAAATGTATATGCCCTAAAGTCAATTAACTTCTAGATTTTAATATGCACTTGAACTATTTATGTTATTATAAATGGCATCTTCATCATATTTATTGCAAATATATTTATATTTGTATGATAACATCCCTAGAGTAAATCTAATCGATGAAATCATAAGAGATAAAATTTATTCTTAAATATATCTAGTAAAAATATTAACAAGACATGGCGTTGTTAATACAATTAGACTAATATATACTATGTCACTTACTTCTATATAAGAGTAGTAAATCTCATCTACTGTGGTGTGTGAGACACCTAAACTAATATATGGGTTCTAGATAAAATGATCAAATTCACTAGATTGATTCGCATAGAGATATCTAACCCTGGCAATTGGGCTAGTTGGTGTTGGGTTTTTATTTAAATGGGTTATATCCAACCTAAACAACCATGGATTTGGTTGATTTTGAGTTGGGTTATATTGAATCATCTCAAACCCAGTAACCCAAATATGACCCAACGTATAATTTTATACATTTTAATAGATAATTCTCTCTTACACACATTTGCACATACAAAATAATTTTTTTACACACACAAACTCATTTTCACATACATGAACATATTTTCACACACTAAAATGCTTCCACATGTACAAACACAAACTCACTTCTTAAGTTCCTTAGATAGAAACACATCATTTTTACACATGCGGATACAGTAAAACACAAACTAACATACTTTCATATATACAAATACACACATTTAAACTACTTGAATTGGCAAATTAAGAGCAGAAAATCCTTTTTCAAAAGCAAATCAAATCACATAAAATATAATCAAAGGATTCGCCAAATTATGAGGCATGATCTAGTATTCCAAATTAAGAGCCTATATGCACCTATCTCATGTAATAGAAAAGGCATGATATGAATATTAAACATACTTAACTGGTGATAGACAGTAGCTGACTATATCTACTGGAAGTTATCATAGTTAGGAACATTTTTTTGGCAATGATTTAAATAAAGGGTATGAAATAGTTGGAAAATACAATGTATAGATGCCTTTAATGCAAGTTCCTAGAAAACTTGGATTGCCATCCTTCATAAGCTTGCATGCAAATAATGGAACATGAAATGCATTAACAATTATGTCAGTAGTATATTCTAAAACATTCTATCTTGATTGATTGAAATGTGTTGTCTTAACTGACTCTCTTCGTTTGCATGTGTGTTGCCATGCTTACATTTGTGTTTTCAAGGATAACAGCAGGTATTCAAGCAAAACCATGCATTACAAATTTTTTGACATTAACATGGCCATGCTTTTTCCAGACAATAACTCAGATGGCCATTAAAACTATTCCATTTCTATTAAACCTATTGTCTTAGTGATATCTCCAATTTACTGAGAATTTATATTCACATTTAATAATAGGAAAGATCAGGAGATGCAGGAAAAAAAAAAGATCATATATGGGGTTAATGTCATTTTACATGAGGTGAAATACAAGAAAAAAATGATCTAAGCATTTTAGGTTAATGGCTAAGTACTTGGGTTAATGGATACCCAACTTAAAAACCCTACACACCCAAAGCTTATTTGGGTCATTTTCACCCAACATCCAATTAATCCAACACCCAACCGGCCCGACTCAACCTCTTAAATTAGTAAGCAGGTTGGACTAGGTTGTTGGGCTTTGAGTTTTTTTTCCAGTCATAGATATATCCTTTAAGTGCCAAAGGATTAATCTCTAAGTGACGTTTGTATAAGTGATCTTTAGACTTAACATTTTTTTTTTTTATAAAAGGGTATTTTTATTTAATGAAGAGCAAGTTTTTACATACACCTAATTTTTCGAATAGAAGGCAATCCTAGTCTATCGAGGCGAATTGCCCACGAGCCATACGTGGAAGCGTATTAAAGGTCTCGTATATCTTGACTTGCTGCTCTGGATGAGATACGCTCACATTGGACAACACATCAACCACCGTGTTAGCCTCTCTGTAGCAATGTGAAAAGCGATCAGGATCTTCCACGAACTGCCAAATCTGCCTAATCTCCCGTCGAATCTGCCAGGGGCACTGAATGCGATGCTGAAGAATTCCAACTAAAACCAAAGAATCAGATTGCACATAGAGATTCCCAAAACCCTTATGTACACATGTTTGAAGACCAATAAGGAGGGCACGAGCCTCTGCACGGATACATGTAGTTTCCCCAAGATATGCCGAAAATCCAATCAAAGGTAGGCCATTTGAATCCCGAAGAATCCCAAAAAGGTAGGCCATTTGATCTTTAGACTAAACATTATTATATTATTTTGAATATGGATAGTTATACTTTGTTTGTTATATGATTGCTCCTATAACAAGAAATGCTCACATAATTAGTATATAGGTATATATTTGAAGTATGGAAAGGTGATAAATCATCTATAAGGATTTACTTTCTCTTATAGAAGAGGAGTTATTTCATGTCTACCACTTCTAGAAGTATAATTCAGAATTCTTAGAACTAAATGGAAGAGTCTTAGAAAGTGTTTCTACGTACTTTTCTATTAGAGTTGTATTTTAGTACAAAAAAAGAACATTAATCACATAATGGAATGGGCACCACTTATTCCAAAATTAATAGGAGATAAGTATAATAAAAGAATATTAATTACATAACAAACATTCACTGAAATAAGGTTAAATCATCCACTTGACTTTTCTCATTACTTGGGTGGTCATGATGCATTATTACATGTAAATCTTGATCTATAAGAATCAGTTGATTGATTAGTAGAATCAATGATATATAGATTAAAAGAAATTTTTATTTATCTAGTTCTTATTTATTAAGAATTAAAACTCATATTTATTGCCAATGTATATGAGAGAACCTAATAGATCACACACATTAAGAATTTTTTTTATTTGGATTAAAAGAATTTCAAGTAGGGACTTAAAAAATAAGTTTTTATAACTTATATTTTAATTTATAAAACAAATTAAACTTGAGAGACTTATGGTACAAATAAGTTTAAATTTTCCAAATACAAGAGTTGTATAAGAATAAGAAGGCTAAATCCTATTCAAAACTGGCTTCAGGGTTTTCATAAGGATATGTACAACTTTTTTATCTATAAATACTCACTAAGAACTAAGATTTTACTAGCAAAACTAATCGACACACAAATTATCTTGTGAGATTTTTGAGAAAAATAATCTTGAGAGAAAAATACCTAAAATTCGTCCAAAAAAATAAGAAAAAATCGCATCTCTTATTTCTGTTACTGGAGCAGGTTTTTCATGGGGAAAAACTAGGATTTTTCTCAACAAGGTTTTTCACAGTGAAAATTGGAGTTTTTCTCAATAATTTGTGTGAGGTGTCTTGGCAATAGTTAGCACTAATCTAGTTTAAACTAACTCAACCTAGAAAGTTCTAGCTAAGGAAGTTTGTGAAGATCATCGTTAGAAGCCAAACATCCATATAACGTGGATCATTTTGCCCCTCCGCATTAAATCTCCATCGGTTTAAGAAGATCCTCATGGATTGAGATAACCTTCTTAAACTAACTTTATGTCACATGAATTTAATCAAAGATCGACCTACTAAAGGAATAAAAGAATTTTAATTTTCTAGCATGCATGTATCTATGATTCCTTACAATACATACATGCATACATATAGATTATAGACCTACATCAAACATAATACAAATCAGACTTTGTCTAGTTTAGTTCTCCATTCTCTAGAGTTTTTGTTTTCAACAAGAATTTGGACTCTATTATCAGGAACATGGAAGTTAAGAATTAAGAAGAGAATAGGCACAAATTAAAAGATTTTCTCCAACATCTCATCTTACCAGAAATGATCATTTCCCGAAGGCCAGATGACATTTGCAAAGCTATGAACTGCTTCAATAGTTGTTGAATCTTCAATACCAACGGTTTCATGAACAGGAGTTTCAGGCCTTGGTCTTATATAGCCAAAAGCTGGCCTATCAGGAATAGTATTAAGCAATTTTGTCTCCATGGGGAGGTTAAACAGCTCCTTAAAAGATGCAAAAGCATCACTAATGAACTCAGGTTCAACTTTGTCATAAACTGCGACGAAGCAGCTAAACTCCTCCAGGGCTTCCCTCACAGCTTTGCAAGTAGAAAACCAAGAACCTGTACCAGGATTTAGGTTTTCTGTGGTGAAATATATGACTGGTACTATATTGTTTTGCTGTGTTTGAGGAGAATAGACTTGAGGGTTGCTCTCCATTGCCAAACTTGTGGATGATGTTCTTGGATTCAGACTTAATTAGCTCTGTTCTAGCTCCAGTTATTAGTCAAATGATCTAGGTAACAAATAAGGTGTTGATTCTTCCTTCTTGAATAGATTCCCACGTGGTTGGATAAGGTATTTACGTCACTGTCAAACTGCTTATGTTTATGGAGTATTATACTGCAAAGATTCCTGTCATCGAGTAGGATTAGTGGATTACTATCACTACATATACACATAATAAAGTGATTACCGTTCTATGTACTGTGCAGAAGAGTGCTGCCATTTGCAGGTTGCAATTTCGAATGTCATCAAATATCTTAATTGTGATCATTTTTGGGGTGTGGTGATACCAAGTACTTTCCAACTAACAATGGTATTTTTTTGTTTGCTAATAACTTAAAAAAAAAATACTTTCCTATGCCGGAAATAGGTCTCTCCAATGTCAATTCTGTCCAGTTCTGTAAGCTGATACATTTTTTATATAAATCTAAATTATAATTGAGTTGGTGTAAAGTTCACTATTACACCAATATACTCCTATTAATTTACACTGAGATTATATTAGTTTATATAATAGAACGGAATTGGA